ATAAAGTACCTTGGATCGTACACTTTTTATAATTGGTAGTTTTTGGTTTTGCTGGTTGTATTGGTTGCGAATCATGTTGGCAGAGATGTTATAGATTATAATATTGTTAACCCATTATTGAAAAACACAGTATATATATATATATTATTAGAATTACATCAAGTATTAGTATTATGAACTGGTCTTACCCAACCCTGTTTCGCGCAGATTTGTGCACCTGGAAATTGCCAAATTCCTACAATTTTTTAATTTTGTCCGAAAACCATTTTAGTGGAGATCTTTATATACATATTTGGTCAATGCTTCCTAACCCATCCGCTGACTGGCCAAAGTTTCTAGAAAAAATTTGGATTTGGTATTTTGCAATTCCCCAAACAAGTCACTTTTTTTGAAGTCCTCAAACATTGCCTTTTTTTCGGTATTTCCCAGTGTGTGTGCCACATTTCCTGACGGTCCATCGAGGGTCACTCGATTCCCCCTAGGTCCATCGCCGGTCGTTCCCTTGAGTTCCGTGGGCGCTACACACCTCTCGTGTTATCTCCGTTGTTGCCAGCTGCCTTCGCTTCCTACCTGTCCACAAGACATGCCCACTTCTGTAAAGGAACAATGTCCTTCGTTCCCCTCGATTTTCCTTTCGTGTGCGCCGATTTGGCAGCGTGCCCTGCATGTCCTACTTCCCTATAGGGTTGGTCTTTTGGCAAAAATACGCTCGAATGGGAACGATTTGTGATTTTCTTCGGATCTGAGCCTGGGCCCTACGTACTCAAGGCAGGACAAATGGTAGTGACGCGCTGGATCCAAAAGCATAAATGTGTAGGCCCAAGCAAAAAAACAACCTAGCTTGAAAAGCCATCAAACAACGGAGTCTTGACTTTCAGCTCACCATGCATGATACATACACCCTGAATAAAATAAGGGTAATTTCGCTTAGCTGCCCAATTCCCTGCCAAAGGCTTCTCCTTTCCAGCTTGTTTGGGTTGATAGGTGTTGTGCATGCCCCAGGTCCCTTGGCATCCCTTGGGCCATCTTGGGCCAGTCCGTCCAAGACTGGACCTCTTCGACGCTCTTCATCCAGGTGGCCAGCTGCATCACCATCTCTTGATTCGTCCTTTTTTTGCATTCTTTTGCAAGGTTTGAGCTGACATGCAAGCGATGAAGGACGTGTGCTTTGCACATCCCCTGTTGCCTGTTTACCGCAGCCATTTTAGTTTCACCACCAGCAGCACTTCGAGGATTCGACATGGAGCAAAAGCAACACTTGCTCAGTCCGGGGGAAGAGATTGTCGCCATCCTTCTGCAGCCGAGCTGGATGACTGAGATGGAATCCGAAGGCTCATTGTGGCAGAAGGCCATTGATATTCCCGACCAGGAAGGAATTCATGATCTTGTGTCGCTGGAGTGGCGGAAGGCCACAGGCGTCTCAGAAAAGTTGCACTTCAAGGAGAGCAAAGACCACAACAACACCATTACTAGGAGAATTGAGCTGGGGCCAGAAGAGTGGGTTGTTGGTTTCAAGATGCATGAGACCTGTGAGGAGGCCGGAGCAAAAAGCTTCCGCAACGTCGAAGTTTTCATCGGTGGGCCTTCGGGGTACAGGTTGGAACCTTTGGCTCGCGGGCTGGTGGTGCCAGAACCAGCATTCCCGGGCAAGATTACTTGGCTTCCCGAACAAGCGGAACCGAGCAGGGCTCCCACCGATTGCCGAATCACAGGTTTGAGAAGCATGCGTGGCACTGGCAGAGACCATCTCGTGGGAATCGTTTTCGATTCGACGAACTCCTGGAACCCAATGTGGATTTGTCGAGGACTGACTGGTGAAGCTCCCATGTTTTGGTTGGATTTGTTGGTTTTGACCTGCCTCCTGAGCTATTTGGACTTGTTTAGCGATGTGCAGCAGTTCCGGCTCTTCTACAGGAAAGGGCTTCTGGGTTACCTAATGGCCAATGTGTGCGGGATTTGTGTGCCTATTTTATTCACATGTAGAGAGAACTACTTGTGGGCCAAGCGTGAGCCAGCCTCGCCACAGCTTGAGTTCCTTCAAACATTGATTCCGTCAGGGTACACAACTCTACTCCCTTGTTTGGCGGTCATTTGCACCGCTTTGCAGCTCCACATTCTGTTGCTCACTCTGATGTCCGCGTACTTTCGCCAAAAGTTTAGCGCTCTTGTAGAGGGACAGCAGGGAGAAGTGACCGAGGCTGCCATATCAGCTTTGGTGCAGCTGCACCTCTTGATGAATGTTCTCGTTGAGGTGGACCAATTCGAGTCGTTGGACATGACTGCTGATGAGATTCATTCTTTGTCCACATCTATTGGGCTTTCATTACTTTCACTGGGGTTCAGCTTTGCCTCCAGAGACAAAGCACCTACTCCAGTGCTGGGCCTTCCTGGAACTGCAGGCTGGGGGCCCATCATGGTAACGCTCATTATTCTACGGACCATGGAAGTCACTGGCCGTCTTGCAGCCATCAATTTGGTGCACATCTCCACCCGCGGCTCCACAGAATCTACATCCATGGGTGGGCCAAGCCTGGTGCTCTTCTTGCTCTTTTGTGCTTCCATGAACTTCCCAGAAGCGCGTGGTATAGACCTCCTAGCAGCCATTGCTGCTCACCCCGGACAAGTCTTGCAGCCAGCATCCTTGTTGCCGCTTTGGAAATCCATAGTGCTGCAGCTGATGGTGACAACGCTGGCTACATCTTTGCAGTATCTCTTGCGCAGGTATCCAGAGAGGTACTTGGAAACCTTTCCTGGGGCCAAAGAGGTCCCATTACACTTGGCCGCACCGTTGCTTGCAGCAAGTGCTTGCAGCATGCTCCTTCTCCCATGTTTAGCATTCACAGGATCAGTGAGGCACCACCCACTTCTGCACCAACTTTCCAGAGCAGCTCGAGATGCCAGTGGTGAGAACCTTCCCAAACGTCATTTGCTGTATTCTGTAGTTGCAGCAACACTCAACCACTCAAAGCCTTGCAGAGCTGCGCTGCAAGTTATGGCTGCTGAGGGGTACATCTTGGATTTGGACGACGCAGCGTTGAAAACCTGGATTGAAGGGAGTGTCGGGGAACTCCAGGCAATCAAGAAGGACTTAAGTATCCTAACAACCTCAGGGTCTGGACCGTTCTTGCAGTGCAATTGTCTCCGAGGTTTTTTGGAAAGGGAGGAGCTGCTGAATCCAGAGTTTTGCGAGAATTTCATGACTTGCTTCAAAGAGCAGTCCATGGCCAACCGAGTTTTGGATTTGTCAGGTTGCAAGCATATTTCTCCAAGGGCATGGGCTGTCTTGTCAACAGCCCATTGGCCCCACCTGCAGATAGTTTATTTATGGTGCTGCTGGCAGGACTCTGAGGATGGTTGCGGTGACATGTTTCAATGCCTTTCTCGGTGTGAAAGGTTGGAAGAGATATACTTGGGTTTTTGCAAGAAGATTTCCAAACTCTCATGGGACGTTCTGAAAAGTGCACATTGGCCAGAGCTCCGGACTGGTCTGTTCTGGCATTGCTTTGAGGAGTCTGGTGAGGGCGCTGAAGTGCTTTTGTCAATGCTCAGCCGCTCGCAGAAGCTACGCTCGCTTGACTTTCGCCAATGTCCTGCCCTGTCCGACACCGTTTGGGATGTGGTGCCCACAGGGTCTTGGCCAAAGCTGACCCAAGCACACGGAATCCCAGGTATAGTCTATGATCAGCTGCGTGGAACCGTGACCCAGGAACCAGAAAGATGGCATGACTCATTTGAAGTGGAAGGAAAAGATGTGGCAGAACAACCTGACACGTGCATACCTTCTTTCTGTGTGGTAGATGTGTTCGGCTGCTTGGAAGCACCACCCGCTCCAAGCGACCTGCCACACGGCTTGCAGTGGGCCAAAGTTATGTATGCCCCGCACGCGACCAACCCTTTGAATGCCAACGAGTGGGCAAAGGTCGCTGCGAAGTTCCTTGCGTCCAAGCAAACTCTTCAAAGAGTGGATTGCATGTGTTGCTTCAATGACAATGGGGCAGGAAGCGATGAGCTCCTGAAGGCTTTGTGCCAATGCGAGGCACTTGAGGAATTGATTCCGCTTGCCTGTGGAAAGATCCACGTCTCGGCATGGCGCATGCTAGCTGCAGCGCGCTGGCCGCGGTTGAGGCGGGTAAGCTTTGATCGGTGCTTCGGTGAGTCCAGTGAAGGAAGCGAAGAGGTCCTTTCAGCTATCAAGCACTGCTCTGTCTTGGAAGATGTGGACTTCATCAACTGTGAGGCCATGCCAGGCGAAGCTTGGGATGCTGTGCCTACCGGTGCGTGGCCGCTACTCAAGAAAGTGCAAGGCATCCCCGCTGAAGTTGCAAACCGTTTGCGGGGCGAATGTAGAAATATAATTTATAGCATGTAAATAACAGCTGATGCATGGGAGGTTTGTCGAGTGGCGCCCAATTTGTTGCCAGCGGCAACTTCTGGAATTCAAAAGAGCCGTGTCGTAGAACTACTGTTAATTTCATTGAGTGATTCCTCCTTCTTTTGACATTCTCAATGTGCTCTCCACAACCACCAGATGCGACAAAGTTCACATCACTTAGACTGTTAGACCTCAAACATGCTCTTTGCAAGATCGGCCCTGAACAAGTGGCGTCCTGATGTTTGGAGATATCGAAGCTGGTTCTTTGTTGGGTGTCTGATCCAAGATTTGTCGCCGCCTCTCAAAACGAGATTGAGAATATAGACAAATGTGTGGCCGTCTCTCAAACATGTCATGCTGTTTGATTTGACACAAATATCGGCAACCACATACAGCACGTACCGCCTACAAAGTTGTATTGAACTCAATTCCCATGTAGCAATTCTAGATATTGCAACTTGTCCATGGTGCTGACATTGTACCACATGGGTACCATATGGCAACATAGAATACTGCCCCTGCCGTCCTCAAGGCTTACGTGGAGCTCTTTGCCTCTCCCATCGCTGGTGTGGGCGTCCGCGCCTTTCGGGCCATCCCCAAGGGAGTTGATCCCTTCCCCATCTGCAACATGCACATGGCAGCCAAGGCGCAGACGAGAGATGACAGTGCATTTGATTGGTTTAGGTTATTTTAGGTTCGCACTTGATTCTGTGGTAATTAATAGAGTCCCGACCGAGCAAAAAGAACATCAAAGAACTAAAGGTCTTAAAACGGTGTACAGAGGATGCCACTAGTCTTCCCAGTATGCCACCATTGGCTTTGTCACAGGACAACATATAGATTGTCAATTGTTGCTTCCTGGTGTCGCTTTGAATTCGGCCGCAGGAGCGCTTTTGTCTGCCATGCCACTGGGGGTCTTCGAGAAAGTAGGGACCTGAGAGGAGTTGATGTCTACTGTTCGAAAGGATACGCCGCCGTTGCTGGACAGCCTAGCTGTTGTTGATATTTGCGTGAGTTCTCAACAATTGGGACTATATATTGATTCCAAAGAATTTCACACTACAGCACAAAACACATCCGGCATGCAAAATCTTGTTGGGGGATTGTGTCTCACGGATTTGGTCTCAAACCGCTGGGAGTTTTTTTTCAGACGTTGTGCCTGGACACTGGACATTTTGCTGTTTTTGCCAGTGTGCGCGTCTTCCGGAGCCTACTAGTGGGTTTCAATCAAGCTTAATAGATTTGGCTCTTGAGGTGACTCTCATTCATTGAGCACTGGTCAATGCTTATAATGTGAGGATTTGTCGAAAGGGCTTCAGGTTTCACCTGAGCCACTGAGGACTGCGGCCGGGGCGTTGAGTGTGGAGCCCCAGGTGAGGGCAGTTCATAGTTGCCGCAGATGGCGAGCGATGAGCTGGGTATCTCTGTGGTAGCCATCTCCTGTAATTTCCTGTGATGCGGCGCTGACAGCAACTTTCTTTTGACCGGTGACCTTGTACATTTGCGTGATACGGTCACAGACTGACAGTGCTTCCATTTGGATCGTAGGAGATTTAATTACAGTATATGACAGTGTTGCAAGAGTTGAGCTTGCGCAGGTGATGCCACTGCCATGCAGAACATCCTGGCGCTGGGCCCCTAGCCAACATGCCAGCAATCGTCTTGAGAGCGCAGAATCAAGAGACCACTCGGGATCGGGGATTAGGATCGAGTTTTTGTGTTGACATGCTTTGCCTCAAGTTGTAATGACAAATTGTGGATCACCTTGGTCCGGTGAAGATGGTGCACCAACTTGCAGGTCAGCAACAAACCGATGGCGCTGAGGAACGGTACCCACGTCACACGTCACACGTCCATCCCTTTGCCGCGTTGTGGCAACTGGGACAACAGTACGCAGCCGCGAACCGTGCTTGGGCAGGAGAGTCGTTAACCGAACTTCACAAATTCTGTTTTGAGTCATGGCCCGGATGACACTGCGGTGTTGTTTTCGGAAGGATTGTCATCTTGCTGACTTGACACGAGGGTTTTGGGGGGACTATGTGTGGAGAACGGTACCCTTGCAGGGTCTAAAGCACATAAGAGTCTCGATCACATCGCAGTATCAACAAGCTCATCAGGAAAGCTATGGCAAGCTAGAAATCTAGAAATAGCTAATCAATTTGAAAAGGTTGATGATTGAATCAGTTTGCTGTCGTCGGTTTGGACGAGAAGCTGTTGGGTGCGAGAGCTTCCAGAGGAGTCACTCACTGCCAAGGCAGCAACACTACGTCCCCATTCTCCTGTTCAATCAACTTGATGGACCCCAGGCGCAGTGCGCCCTTTGGCACCTGCACCAGCTGCAATTTTCTGAAATCCATGGTTGAAGTACTGAAGTACTCGCGGGTGGTTGGGGGGGTATTGTGAACAATTCTGGTGAATTTTTCAAGTTGCAGGCCTTCAGCTCCTGTAGCAGCCCTACCTGCAGAGGTGCTGAAAAAGCCATGCGTGCAAGCATGACAGGGTTGAGCCGCACCACCCATTACAAAAAGGGAGGCTTTCTGTTGTTCGATGTCTTTCTTGATCTTTTAAGTGTCTTTAAGTATTAATAAATACATTGAATGCATCGAACACTGTGCTAAATTGAAAGCCGGAGATTCATGAAGAGCATCTTTTTATCCCGGAATTGATCGCAGAGCAAATGATTATGGTGGAGAAACATGATATCTTGAGATCGGGTGTGATTGTTCCCACGAAGGAACCAAGTTGTTTTTCTTCTTGCTTTGATCTTTCCTTTCCTTTGTTCCAGTGGGACAGGTGCGACGCTTTGGACTTGTCCGACAGCTCAGCTCTGGGTGAGATCTGTTGAGGTTTGCACGCAGCTCTGGGTTAGATCGCTGAAGGACCTGGCCGCTGACTTGCCACAGATGTGGGCCTGCCATGTAATATGGATTTCATAGAAGATCATCTCTATAGGTCTTCAACTCTAGGGAAAAGCTCAAGCAGGTTCATGCTTCGCGGCCCTTGAGGACTGGACCCTTTCCTTGTTGCCGCGAACCGTGTTGATGTTCAATTGTCCCTTCCTGGATGGGACATTGGGCGTGGAGCCCCAGCCAAGTCAGCTCATAGTATTGCACGCCACTACCATCCTTTTTGACTAGATTCTCTCTTTTTGTTGACTCGTGCGTGACTTGATCCCTCAACATCCTTACATATGTGACGCAGGCATCCAAGGCTTCAAGATTCCAGAACAAGTTCACAAGTTAACACTTGCTTTCTGATGGTGCGTGCACCGCTGGCGACTCGCATGTTGTTGGCCATGCTCTTGGGCATGGCCGGGCGCCCCTTCGTTGCGTGGAGGGCACGTGGCACTGCTGGGCCGTCGTTGTTTGGTCGCAGCGCAGGCCGTGCTTCTCGCATAACCCGCCATCAAAGCCCAAGGCAGTCGGATTTTCCAATTGTTCAGCCGCTCCAGATCCAAGTTGCACGGGCTGAGCTTGAGGACATTTTCCAGGACTTCGCCAAGCTACAACATTTGCCCCTTGATGAGCTTGAAGAGCTTGAGGCACAGCAACAGCAATGGGATGAGAAGCTGCGGGTCCTCTTGATCGGTGATTTCAGCAGTGGCAAGTCGACCCTTCTGAATGTTCTGGCGGGCAGAGTGATTGCCAAGACTGGATGTCGGCCAACCACCATGGATTTGCGGGAGGTAGCATGTGGCGACCATAAGAGCATCCTGCTGGTTGACACTCCTGGAATCAATGCAGCGGAAGGTATCAAGTCACCCGGCGTCCTCTTGAATATTGTTTTGCTTTATTCCACACTCCTTGGGTAATCCAGCTCATTGATCATTCCGTACTGTTCCTTCTTAGAACATGATGTTTGATTGCTCTTCCATGCTCTTTCTTTGCTTTCTGGCAGACTGCACATCTCAAGCACAAGGAACAAGTGCTTGACGAGGTCCAGCATGCCGACTATGTGATTTTCCTCATGAAGGCAACTTCACCGGGAACAGAGTCCGAAGAAGAATTGCGGCAGCGCTTGCAGAGCTACTCAACTCCAGGTATCCTTGCGTTGTCCCATTGGGATCATGTGGATGAGGAAGAGCAGAAGGAAGTGGAAGCTCACGCAAAGGCATTTGCTGCGAAGGCATTTCCGGGCAAGGAGACAAAGCTGTTTTGCATCAATGGCAAGAAGGCTGAGAAAGCCATCAAGGCCGGTGGCAAGCATGATGAGCCGGGATGCCAAGAACTAGAGCGCTTCCTTGAAGAGAAACTGGCAGATAAGAATCGTCAGCTTGCGCACAAGCTGACTGGGTCCTGTTCACGGGCTGCAGGGCTTGTCGCGAAACACTCCGGACAGATTGGGATTGATGAGAAAGAAACAAGTGGCGCGTACAAGGAAGCCATGAAAGATCTCAAGCAAGAGAGAGACGAGCTTAAGCAGGAGCAAAAGAGACTTTCCGAGAAGCAGAGGGAGGTCGAAAAGGATCAGAAAGATATCGATTCGGAAATCGAAGCTAATCGCAAGGATTACAACCATCATGTGCGGGAGAAGCAGAAGACTAACAGCACACATGGCGGGTGGTTCTTGTTATGCTCCGTCGTGGAGCGGAAGTAGCGGTGTTTGGGTTTTCGGGAGGGTCGCAGATTCCTGCCCTGGGAGAAACTGGATGTCTTCTTCTTGGAGGAGTAGTTGGTGGTTTTGCTGGGGCTTGGGAAGGAGAAGAGGGGCAAAAGCGGACATCGCAAGATGTAGAAGATGAGAAGATCAGGTCACATGCGTTCGAAAAGCGCTCCAAAAACAGGCAAGAACAACTCAAGACACGCTGGTCTGATTTGCAAAAGCAGTCGGACCGCATTTCCAAGAAGCTGGAGACGGTGGATGAAGATCGAAGTAGCAGGAAGGAGCATTTTAACAGAAAGCTCAACGACCTGAGTTGGGAGAAGGATCGTTCCATGGAGCTGGTCGAACGTCTCAAGGAGTGGGACAAGAAATGGCGCCCCCGCCTGGCTGTTATGATCGAGGAGTGAGTGGAGCTTTGGATTGGCCCGTGCATGACAGGCAATTTTGCGTGCATGGACAAAAGGTGTTGGGATCGGTCCTTGCGGACTCTCGAGCTGAATTCAGCAACTATTGTTTTGTCACTTTCAGCGTGTAGATGCGTGTACGTAAAGTCTTTGACTTGGCTAGCTTCACTCTGAGACATTCTGAACTTCAGAGTGGGTGAGGACCATGTGTATCGCACACTGACTTGCAGGTCTTTAGCTCCTATGGCGGCCCTTCCTGCAGAGGCGTGTATGAGAGGAGAGCTTGATTGGTGCTGTTGTTGTTGTTGTTGCTGTTGCTGCTGCAGCATGAAAGAATGGAATTTGAACGTGTTGGTATGGAATGGCACATAGACAGGAAACATCGGTTGATCCCAGCCAGGGATGTTGAATGTTCTTGATGTCCACTCTCTTGCTTAGTTTCATTCCAATCAAGACGCTGTCTCATGAACGCCCTCGACTTTTGCCAAACTTTGATATTGCCCGACGACCTAGATTTGGCTGACTGAGACCTCCAGAGTTTGGCACACAGGCTACTACCCTTCAAGGGAAGACACATGAATCATAATATGAGTGTTTTCTGTTTTCTGTTATCCGACGTAATATGGCCAACTTGGACTTGTTGCTTGGCCGACATGCACTTTGTCAGGCTATATGGGTAGTGCTGAAGTTTCTGGTGTTTGAATCACGTACTGCTCTAAACACAAAGGAGTGAGGTGCTAGCTCTTTCATATCTTTGGTGTCAGGCCTTCATCCCAGCGACGCTTGCAACGGAGGCATGAGTTACATTGATTTGAGCAGGTAGGGTGAGTGCACCTCGAAAGAGGTCGAAATCAAGCTTGGCGGCCTTGCAAATGCTTGTCAGAACCAATGATACTGAGCATATATATATATAACGCTACACTACATACTGTTTTGCATTCCTGATGCGCATCAAACACCTGCGTGTTGGGGAACTACATGATTGATTCTTCTGTCTCATATCAAAATAGTTGCACAACAAACCCAATCGGACGACTACTAATTATTGATCTTGGATTTTTAGACAGTGCATGAGCACGCCGCTTTCTCACAAAGCCATGCAACTAATAGATTGGCGAGCTAGCAGGTGGGAGGTGACGAGCCAGAGACACAGGTGCGTCGGATGTTGAACAGGTGGCATGGCTCAGGACATGGTGGTGTGGGGTCCCCAGAGCCAGCATGTTAGCGGTCGTCAGAGTGCTAGGGGCCCAGTTCAGCCGAAATCCGTTGTGGGCTGCCCAGCAAACGTTAAGCAAACTTTAAAACTTGTGCTCCGTGTGCTCGCCTTCTTTAAACAGCCTTTTGTCTTGATATTTTGGACAGCAAGAGGCCACGAACTTCGTCGTCCACTTCCTACGGATGAACCTCCACAGCGTCGACATCTGTCGCGCCAGCTGCAAGCCATCAGATGGCCCTGTACAGTCTATGATCTGCCCGAACCCCTTCCACCTCCATGCTTATCATTCATGCTTGTTTTTCTTGGACCTAGCTTATCCTATGCTGCTGCATGTCTATTCATACAATTCGTCCATCCGCAATGAGTTGAGCATTGAGTCAATACGGTGGCAACCACCCTTGATGCCCAACAGCCCAAGCTTCAAAACGGAGGATTGGGCGACCGGAAATATGAAGTTCTCCGGGAAACATGGGCCTTTCACACCAGGTGGAACAGTGTGGGTTTAATAACGGAGACCCAGAAGTATTCTTCACAGCTCTGACTTCAATCGAAGAGTTGCCTTGTGCTCCCACAGTGCACAGTCGATGACATTGCCGGGGTTTGTAAGGTGGCAATCTGTAAATCACACTACTGTAAATCACAAGAGTAAACGATTTCACTGACTTCACAACACGGCCTGGATAGGCTCGGTCGGCAGACTCACGCCTTTGGCAGACTGAACCAAAGGCGTGTTGTTGCGTCGGAGTGAAGTACTTGCCTGGACTTCCAACTGCATCTCCAGCCCAAGACGGGCTTGACTGCCTCAGAAAGAAAGCGGGATGCAAGAAACCAGCATTGCATGAAGTGTCAAATTTGGGGGGTTGGCCCCACATAGACACCAGAAATCTTCAGCCGCACTGACGTCCTATAAACGTTCAAGCGATCATGGTTTACTTCGCCAAAGTGATGAAATTTTGGAAGGCCGACAAACGCCAAGCAAAAAAGTACAGTGTTCATCATTTCGCACCTGAAGCCATGGCATGGGCACAGCGAACCGAGAAGGCCGGACAGAATAATTGCACAAGAAAGTTGACCACGCCATGTTAGATTCTATTGCTGTTGAAGATATTCGTAGATTACACGTGTTGGACAGTTTTTCTTGCACGCTCTTCTGGCCTCTAAGCTGTCAAGCTGATTGTCTAAAACCTTGTCCCCAGCCCCAGTGCAGGCCCGCGCAGTGCCCGAGACTCGCTATGACCAGCAACTCCTGAACGACACCATTCTCTCCATCAAGGCGGTGGCACGATCTGAGTGTATTTCTCAAGAGACACGAACATGCAGGTGAAACGCCACCATCCAGTGCATTCCAGTGCGCATGTTCCAAGCCTTCTTTCAAGACTGCATAATTATAGCGTATACATAATACTATATATAATATATCGTGTATAATTACATGCACATGATGGACAGATGGTTCAATGAGACTTGGCCTGGCCCTTGGAGTCTCGGCCAGGCCTCCTTTCGACACCTGGAGCAGTCGTGCACGGCCCTGGAGCGGAAAGTCTCCAAGTCCAGGACGATGGGTTCAGCGAGACGTTTCGTTGGTTTGTTTTGGGATGGCTACGACCTGAATTCGTAGAGAACGTGTTGAATCTCTTGGAGACCATGAATGAAGAGATGTGACAACTGGTAAATGGTCAGATACCTCGGACAACTCTGAATTCGGACTCCGTGATGCGAAGGAGTCGCACAAATTGCGTTTTTCTGATCAACTTTGTGCTCTTCCGAAAGGACCCGCATTGTGAGCCAGATGATGCACCTTCGGAAGCCTGAGCGCCACTCTGATCCTTGGCACACAGGTTGCGAAGAGCCTCCGATTCTCGATCAGCTTGCTTCGCATCGCCCGAAAAGATCGTGAGACTAACCACAACTATCTCCTCAATTCGTCCGATGTTCGTTTCACACCCAGGTAACTATAGGCAAAACCAGTTCCATCTTGGCAGAAGAATTCCACCGTTACACCTTCCCCAAGACAATGTTTGTCGCTGTTTTTGCTTCAATTTTGTTTGGGATTGTATCAGTTGCCACACTGCATCTAGGGTGCCATAAAAGTCTTGGGTTTTGCTCCCACTGCTTGTACTACTTACAAACATGTTTAGTGGTTGTTTTTAATTGTCTTTATTGTTTGGTCTATTTTCGCAATTTATCTTTTTACACCTTTATTTGTTAAAGGTTGTTCTTCTTCGATTAAGCTACTAATTACTACGATCATTACCACCAGCTTTGTCACCCACCGAGGCCAAGCCGGACTTGCCGCGGATGCCTTGGTCAGAGCCACGGGTGGACAGGTGCCGCCAGTGTCGGTCATAAGCGACGAGTAATTGGAAACCGTTCGAAGATGTTGGAAGAAACATGAAGAAACAGTGGAAGAACGTTGCCAACTAAGTCCAAACCGTCAATTAGGCCTGCCTGGCCTGCCTCAAAGAGAGCATTCTTGTGGTAGTCTGAGTCAGGGGTGAGGCCAAGACCCAAGAATTACATGGGAGGTCTTGCAGTTCTTTTGGGCTTTACAGTTTAACCCATCTCAGACCGTCTTCATTATTCGGGGCCCTTGTTTCTGCTGAACCCTCAAGTTTACGGCTACTGCTGTGAACTTACGGATCTGGTAGGCACCATCATTCAAGTCCCTGCAACTCATTGCCATCACCAATTCTTTTGCGGCCTACCACAGTCAACCCCCATGCCGCAGTCGGCCTGTGGCCCGGGTCTATGCAGCTGCAGCTGCAGCGGCAGCGAGTGCGAAGGCCATGTTAACCGACTCAAAGGCCTTCTGGGTACCCAACCGAAGAGCAGAGGCCTCCAGAAAAGAGTCGAACTCCCAGTCAAAGACAGACGTTATTGATTCCATGCATGTGGCAATGTGGCATATGTCTTTTTGTTTGTATTGCAATAGAATTGTTTCACTTGAGGCATAGATGGTTTCGGATCCAAAGCTTTCATTCCTTTTTGGGCTCGAGTGCTGTGTGCTTTGGAGGCTATTTTGACTTGTACAGATTAACTTTAGAGCACAGCCGACATGTCGGACGATGAGCTTCCCATGACTGGTGAGGGCATGGGTGACTTGCAGATGGCAGACATGGAGAACATGGAAGGAATGAGCGATGGCGAGGAGGAGGTAGATCTTCCTGAAGGAGTGAAGAAAGAAATCATCCAGGAAGCTCCTGAGGGAAATTACAACCTTCCCAAGACGGGGGACGAAGTAACTGTGACTTGACTTCCAATATCTTTCCATGATTTCAGCCACACGTGCTATGTTTGTTATTTTGTTCGATCATTTTCACGTATTTTTCGGGTGGAACGCTCTCCCTGGTCAAAGAAAACGGGTTATCATGAGAGGTGCACTATGTCGGCACCTTGCAGTCCGATGGCTCTCAATTCGACTCTTCTCGCTCGCGAGAGCAACTTGCCTTCAAAATATGCTGACACAACTGCGAGCTCTTTCGAGAAGTGCCAAAATGTGTTGCAAGGCTGTGTAAAATGCAGGCAAAACTGCTGCAAATCTGCCATTCTGCTCATGTCTGCTCTTCTGAGGCAACCCTTCAAGTTCACCTTGGGACAAGGAGAAGTCATCAAAGGTTGGGACTTGGGTGTGGCCACGATGAAGAAGGGTGAAGTGGCCAAATTCACTTTGTCACCGGAGTATGCCTACGGTCACATGTTTGCACTCAAGAGGAGGAAGTCATCCCCAAAAATTACAAGCAGGACCCAAACCATTGCCAAGCTATACAGTGGTTTTCTTTTTGTAGAGACCAAATGTCAACTCGGACAAACACAGCCTAGGTGATGCTGGGTCGCCTCCGAGCATTCCCGAGAAGGCCACACTGGTCTTTGAAGTGGAGCTCATTGATTGGCTATCCAAGGATGATCTGTTCTCAGATGGAGGAGTCATCAAGCTGCAGCTGACAGAGGGCAGTGGTTGGAAATCGCCGCAGGATGGTGAAGTTAAGATTTCCTTGAAAGCCTCTCAATTGAATGGCGACCTC